CTATTTGTTTTCTAGACAGCATTAGTTTGGTTTGTTTTGTTGGTCTTTTTTTGTTTGTTTTTGTTTTGTTTTGTTTTGTTTTGTTTTGTTTTGTTTTGTTTTTGCCTTGCCATAAAAAGGGGCAACAGGCAGAGACTCGCTCTTCGATGTGGTCAGAGCCATGAAAAGCTTTATGGTTTGTTTGTTTATTTTATTGGGTTTTTTTTTTCTCTCCCTTAATGGATTAACAATCTAATCTCTAATAAGCACCTCAGAGCTAGCTGGCAATATTTGATCTGTACATATTTTGTTTTTGTTAGAAGAGGTAAGTCAAGCCCTAACCGTTCTGGGTGATCTTTCAGTGGGAGGATCCTGTCCTGAGCCTTGTCTGACTTGACACGGATGAGTCACTGCAAAAATTCTCAGCCATTAACGTGAACAACTTGCTTCATTCAATCAAAAGAAATAAATAAATTATCTGTAATAATATAGACAAGGAGCTGCTTAAGTCCATGGTGTTAAATCGATGATTTTTTTATATTAAAGAGTTTTAAAGTTTTGGTTCTCTGCTAAACCCAAGAAATTCTCAGATTCCTGGTGTTTCTGTAGCCTCACTGCCACAAGCTGAGGCTTTCACTTCACACACTGCTGCACTCTGAAAACAAAAAGTAAATAAATCCAGCCTGAGAATTGTCAGTGTTGGCAAACTTTTAGGCCATAAACTTGGGCTACATCTGTCAAGGAGAGATTTTAACTTCTCCTTGTCAAGGATCACTCAGAGCAAACATGTCCTGGTGTTACTGGTGGCTTTGCCTAATCCGGGGTGAAAGTGAAGAGTCTGGCACTCCTGAGCTGGGGGCAGAGACTGGGTTTTGCTGTCCTGAACTGAGAATCTGAAAGGAAAATTAGGTGGGAATTAGGAAACCAGGGAATGTCATCACCTTGAATGTCCCTGTTGGGAGCATTCACAGCACTGGAATCTAGAGTCAAATAACTGAAGTTAAATTATCGTTCTCTGATGTTGTTTGATTTTACATTTTGTTGGTTTGGGCTGATTTTGGCTTGCACAGTGTTCTGCTGGACTAAAATTCTGCATTTCTCTGCTGCCTCCAGGTTATCCTGGCACTGGGTTTCCCTCTGGATCTGGAAACGAAGGATTTTGAAGGTAAAAGCCTTTGCACAAGTGGGGTGAAAACCTGGATTGGATATTTCACTGCTCGTTGGGATTTGGGGGTGTGCTGGGAGGCCAAAGCAAGCTCAGAAAATGCCTGGGGGAGAGAGAGTTGTGTCTGTGCAGTCAAACACCACAAAATTCAAAGCTGCTGATGGCTCAGGGGGGATTCAATTGGAACTAAAAACATTCTGGAATGCCCCAAAAAGTGTCCATAGAGCCAGAGAAGAAACCTGAGAAAGGCTTGTGCCTCAACAACTCCTGCACAGACTGAATAAATGGTTGGATGAATGGTTGGACGACTGGTTGGATGAATGGTTGGATGACTGGTTGGATGAATGGTTGGATGACTGGTTGGATGAATGGTTGGATGACTGGTTGGATGAATGGTTGGATGAATGGTTGGATGAATTATTGGGAAAATGACTGAATGAATGATTGAATGAATGATTGGATAAATGACTGAATGAATGATTGAACCAATTACTGGATAAATTATTTTATGAATGCTCTCTGTGCCAGCCCTGTCTTCTCTCTGCACAGCAGGGTTTTCCTGGCGCTGTCCTCACCTCCATCCCATGTTCTTTTCCAGGCCATACCCCTCTCCACTGTGCTGTCCTGGCTCACAACACCCTGCTGAGGGAGCAGGGCAGGCAGGCACTGAGCGAGGAGCAGCACAGGGAGCTGCAGCAGCAGAGCAGGGAGCTGGAATCCTGCATCCATCTCCTGGTGCAGACCGGAGCCTCCATCTACAGCCGGGTGAGGATGGGCTGGGTCATCCCCGGCTTTGGCTGGGAATTCTCCCCCCTTTGGTGCTCAAAACACAGGATTGGAGAAGGAACGAGCTGCTGGCACAAGGGCCAAGCCTGTTCTCCTCCCAAGGGACTGCTGGCAGGGTTTGGTGCTGCCTTTTGGAGGTCCTGAAGCAGACAAGGGACACTCAGAGGATCACTGGAGGGAGGGAGATGCTCCCCACCAGCTGCAGAGCTGGCCTGGGTTTCCTCTGATGGGTTTGTGGGATATCTCCAGCTTGTCCTGCAGAACAAGTCTTATTTAGATTGGGTTTTTTAATATTCTTTTTCTCTGGTTTTTAAATAGGATGTGAAAAGCAACAAGACAGTTCTTCATTACACAGTCCAGGACGGGAACGTCTCCCTGCTCAGGTACTTCCTGGAGCTGAACGCTTTCAAGCCCAAGGATTTTGTCAACAACAAGGTAAATTTTTGCCAGCAACAGGGTTTTTTTAACAGAGGGAAAGGGTAAACGTTGCTAATCTGAACTTCTGTTCAACCCCAAACTACATTTTCCAGTAAACAGACAACTCACAGACAAACAGCACCTGGCTTAAAGTCTGTCATGAAAAGCGGAGCCCTCTCCCAGCAGGAGATGAGAATGAGCAGGAGATAAGCAGGAAGGAGGGAGAACATGGGAAGTGGTTGCTTGAGGAGGAGCAGGAACTTCAGATGAGGCTGAGGATGGAGCAAACAGCGCTGCAGTGCTGCAGGGTTTGACAGCAGCATGAACTGAGAGGTGGCACTGCAGGGCAGCCAGCCATGGAATCATCTCTGCTGGCAGCTGTGGCACCACAGGAAAGACCCAGCCCCTGTTTCTGTCAAGGTCTGGGAATCCAGAATCAATTCCCTCTGGCTGCCCTGGCAGGGGTCAGGAACCCCCCTGGACAGAGCCCCCAGAGACACTGGCTGTGATCTCTGCCCATGGAAAAGAGTTTTCAATCTTACAGGATCAATTACCAGCTCTGAGTGTTTGATAGAAGTGATAATTAAGTGTGGCACAGGTGCAAAAGTAAAATTTTAGGATTCTAGATGAGGGGTCCAAAGGGACAAGCTGGAGGAAATTGGGTGTGCCTTGTCCTTTTTCTCCTTCTTCATGCCCTCCATGTCTCACTGTGGTGTTGGCATTTTTCTGTTGGTTCAGGCTGGGGACACACTGTCCAACGTAGGTGACAGATATTGGCACGTTCTTGTAAATGCAGCCCAGGGAGTTTCTGGTATTTAATGTTTGTCACATCCCACTGAGGGCAGAGCCCCACACGCTGTCCTGCAGGACAGAGCTGGGCAGGGCAGCAGAACATGTGAGAGATAAACTGAATAAACAACCTGGAAACCAGCACAGACCAATTCTGCTTTGGCAGGGGGCTGAAAGAGACTTTCTACAATCTCAGAATCATCAATACCTCAGATTCCGACATCAAGGGACATGGAGATTCTTTCTGCCTTAAACATTATTTGTGATTTTCTGGCACAGCCATGCCTAGGCTGGGTAAAGCAAGCTGGAAACCTCCCCAGTGCTGCCCCACAGCTCAGCTCGGAGCAGATCCCCTGCACTGATCATCTCTACAGGCAGCAGCTCCACCCAGACAAAAATCCTGACATTCCTGGGAGCGGAGCCACCACTGCCCACCAGAGCTTTGGGACAGGCTGCCCCTCTCAGCAGGGCTGAGGGGGTGATCCTGGCTGCTCTGCCCTTCTCTTTTGAGGAAGGGGACAAGCCTGGGGGTCCCTGGGTTCATCTCAGCAGTCCCAGCCTTGCTTGTGCTCCCCAGAGCTTGTGTCCCTCAGGGGGGAACTGAATTTCTCTGTCAGCTCCATTGCTTGTCAAAGGGCAGCTTCATTTCTTTTACCCCTCCAGATTTGGACTGGAGAAAACCTATTTTGGGCTGTGTTTGTGGGTAATGGCACCGAGCTGGTGTTTTTCTGTCCAGTGAAGGGCTTTTCACTGCATTCCATCCGTATCTTTGAAGACCCTTCAGGCAGGTGAGAGCCTGTCCATGGGAGTCTCTGTTGTCTCTTGATCACAGTCCTGGGGGAGCTTCCTCCTGTGATAGGATCACTCAGAGTCTTCAGTCTTGTTGCTGGGCTGTCTGGGGCAGGGAGAAATGAGAAATCCTGGGTTTTTTGGCTCTTCAAAGAGCGAAGAAGCCAAGGAAGCAGCCACGTTGAGGTTTCCCTGGCTCACCCACTGCTTGTGCTTGTCTCACTCCAAATCTGTTTCCGTGGCATTTTCACAATGAGGAAAATATTGAAGCCTTGGAGGTGTTTTTCATCTGGAGGATTCCTGGAGCCCACTTTGTCTCAAATGAGACCCATTAAAGTCAGCCTGAGGCTTCAAGGTCAGGCCTTGTCAGATTGCCTCATTATCTTAGCCCATGCCTGGATGGGGAAGCTCTAAAGTGCAGAACTTTCCATTTTAACAAGAAATCCTGTAAAGAGCTTGTAACCATCCCTTGGCTTTGTGGGATAATAAACTTGACAAGGATCTGCTTGTTCAGGGCTTGTAAAACATGCCTTGTCTGAGAAAAACTGTTAAAATTCTGCAATTTTATTTTCTGCTTCACTTCTCCCTGATGTCTCAGTGGTTAACAGGACCTGAAAATCACATTTTTCATCTCACATTTGAACAACTGGAATACTAACACAGGCTGCAGTTTGTGGCCAACCATTCCAATGCCATGACAAACCCATGATTGTTTCTGAGAGGGGAAAAAACAAGCAGCTGCCTCAATGAGACTAAAAATACCTCACCTTGTGCTTTTGTTTATCAGCTTTTTCTCATTTACAGCCGTTACCAGTCATACCTGACCAGACAGGGCACAGATTTCTCCACGGTCTGGTGGCCCCAGAGCTTCTGCAGCACCCTCCATCCATGGCTGCCTTCACAGCCAGCTCTGTCCTTCCTGTGCAAATCCTCTCACTGGAACCAATCCATGCCTGAATTTGGGAATTTGAATCTTCCTGGCACTTGGAAGTGTGGGAAAAGTGGGGATTTGTGGAGCACAAATGGGACTGGTGGTGTGGGGCTTTGTGTGGTGGGCAGCAGCGTGATGTGTTGGGTGTCTAAAATCCAATTTTGAATATTGTATTGTTATAATTTAATGTTTCCCAGTGAAATATTTTCATGCTTGTTGCACTCTTCTCTTTTTTCAGTAATTCCCCAGTCTCTGTTTCCATGAGGATGTGATTTAGGGAATGATTTCAGAGCAGTTTTTAGAGGGATTTCAGTACAATCATACACGAGGCTGTGATCTAGGGAGTGATTTCAGAACAGTTTTAAGATGGGATTTCAGTACAATCATACATGAGGATGTGATTTAGGGAGTGATTTCAGAGCAGTTTTAGGGGGGATTTCAGTGCAATCATACACGAGGATGTGATTTAGGGAGTGATTTCAGAGCAGTTTTAGGGGGGATTTCAGTGCAATCATACATGAGGCTGTGATTTAGGGAGTGATTCCAGAGAAGTTTTAAGGGGGATTTCAGAGCAACCAGGCTATGATTTAGGGGGGATCTCAGCAATCAGGGACTGTTCCTGCCTCAGGGCTATTAATCACCCAAATGCATCAAACCCCCCCAGTTTGTGGTGCTCTTTAAAAGAAAAAAAAATCTGAATCCACAAACCTCCTGCCTGGGAGAAGCAGAGCAGAGATCCTCCCTCACCTCCTGATGACAAATCCCATGAGGATTCTTCTCTCATTTCACACCTCCATTTCGAGGATGATTCTGGGGAGATGGCACAGCTCACCAGGGGATTTAGCTGGGGTTTTTACTCCATTTTTTCCCCCTTCTCCCTGCTTTAGGCCCATGGCAACACAGCCCTGCACATGGCAGCTGCTTTGCCTGGTAGCAAGAACCAGAAGGAAATCATCCAGCTGCTCCTGGAGCACGGGGCAGACCCCAGCATCCGAAATTTGGACAATGACCAGCCAATCCACATGGCCCCTCCTGGAAAAGCTGGGGATCAGGTAAGGGATCCCCACTGCTGCTCTCCCCTAACACACCTGCACGCTCCAGGGGTGGCTGGGTTTCATGCTTGCAGGTGTAAAAATATTCCTGGTGTATTTGGATGTTTATTTAGTTGCACATGTACACATAAATAATCGTGTGTGTGAGTGTTTTGGGGTGGCTCAGATGGTGCTTCCTGAAATCCCACATTTTTTTGGCAGGTCAGGCATTTGCTGAAGAAAGGGAAAGTCACACCTGCATTCAACTCCTGCCACAGAAATGCCAGATCCTGAGTTCTCTGCAATTTATGGAACAGCTTCACCTACTCCAGCTTCTGCCTCCTATAAAAACTGTGAGGGTGGTTCTGCAGCACATCCCTGCTCCTGCAGGCTCCCACCAGGGTGGGGTGGGAGTGTTTCTCAACCTGTGGCCACGAACAGCACGTCAGACAGCAGAAGATGAGCTTTCAAATGGTCGAAAACTCAATTTTGGTAACAGGGAACACCAACAAACCTCCAGCAAGGAGGTGAGCGAATCGAGTAGCTGCTACATAAATAAGTAAATATTACAAATCATTTCAAAGCACAGGCAAGCTTTGAAACCCTTGGGGCTGACAGAGCACAGGGTGACCGTTTGGCTCCAAAAGGTTGAGAAATGCTGCTCTGAGACACCCCCAAGCTGTGCCTCTGGCTGGGCCTGCACACAGGGAGTGCTGGAAATGCTGCACCTCTGTGGTGTGCAGTTCCCACTGCCCCTGCTCCCCTGGGAATGCAGGATCCTCAGGGGGAAAAAGCCTGGATGGAGAACTTGGGTCAACCCTGGCTGGATTTCACCCGGGGGGATGGACACCCAAAGCCAGGAGCCGCACGGGAGGGTCCTGCAAGCTGGAATTCCCATTCTCAGCACTTTGGGAGGGCTCTGGAGCAGCTCCCCTCAGCCAGCCCAGGGAAAGAAACAGCTGCTGTGAGAGCAAGGGCATGGGGCAGGTTTGTGTGATCCTGAGGGGAGACTCCAATCCAATCCAGCCCAATCCAATCCAGTCCAATCCAACCCAACCCAATCCAATCCAATCCAATCTAATCCAATCCAATCCAATCCAATCCAATCCAATCCAATCCAATCCAATCCAATCCAATCCAATCCAATCCAGTCCAATCCAATCCAATCCAATCCAATCCAATCCAGTCCAATCCAATCCAATCCAATCCAACCCAACCCAATTCAATCCAATCCAATCCAATCCAATCCAATCCAATCCAATCCAATCCAATCCAGCCCAATCCAATCCAGTCCAATCCAATCCAATCCAATCCAATCCAATCCAATCCAATCCAATCCAGTCCAATCCAATCCAATCCAACCCAACCCAACCCAATCCAATCCAATCCAATCCAATCCAATCCAATCCAATCCCATGAATGCAATCCCATCCAATCCCACCCAATCCCATCCCATCCAATCCCATCCAATGCAATGTAATCCAACCCAATCCCATCCAAACCAATCCCATCTCATCCAATCCAATGCAATCCCATCCAAACCAATCCCATCCCATCCCATTCCATGGATCCCATCCCATCAATCCCATCCCATCCCATCAATCCCATCCCACCTCACCCCATTCCATGGATCCCATCAATCCCATCCCATCGATCCCATGTATCCCATCAATCCCATCCCATCCCATCCCATCCCATCCCATCCCATCCCATCCCATCCCATCAATCCCATCCCATCCCATCCCATCCCATCAATCCCATCAATGCCATCCCAGCCTCCAGCTCTGGGGGCACAGAACAGCTCTGGAAGCCCCTCAGGTGGGAGCTCACCTCACCGGTGTGGGAGCCAGAGAATCCCCGAGGTCTCCAAGAGCTCTTGGGGCAGGGATGGGCTCCGGGTGCGTGGTCAGGGTGTGGGGGTGCTCTCCTGCTCCCATTCCCACCTGGGAGGGGTTTGGCAGGATCTTTGGAGGTTTCTGTGAAATGGTTTGTGAATTGCTGTGCAGTCAGTGACTCTGCAGGGCCGTGTTTCGTGTTTGGGCAGAGGCTGGCCCGTGCTGGGGCTCACTCTGAGCTGTGCTTTGGGATTTTGCTGCTCTCCCAGCGTGCACAGGTGCTATTCTCCAGCAGGATGAGCAGAGAGGTGAAGGGCACAGCTCCTAAACCACTGCAGCCACTTCCTTGAGCACCGCTGGCTGCCTCGGTGGGATTTCCTGAGGCACTCCTGGAGTGTTTGAACAACTGACACCAACAAAAGCTCTTAAGAAATGCAGAGATCTCAATTTGCCAGCCCTCCTCTCTGCTCTTGTGCCATTGCCTCTCACTACATGTACCTACAATCCTGCTGACAGAGAAGCAGACGTGTATTTGCATGTGTTTGCATAAATTTTCATGTATCTGAGCACAGGCCAGCAAAAGCCTGTGCTGTCTCACTGGGAAGGATGTTACAATGAGCCCTGAAAGGAGTGAGAAGTGTATCAGGGATTTAGTACCCTATGGATGAAATATCCATTTCTGGAACCTGCAGCAGCACAACTGTCAAACTGTGAGCAGCACGTGGCACATGAAACTGTAAAAAGCTTTTTGCCACCTAGAAATATCTGTAAGGTAAATTAAATCCTTTGGCAGCAAGTGAAAAAAAAAAAATACAAGAGATTTTTTTCCTCCAGTGGTTTTTCTCTTTATTCTGTCATCTCTTGGGTATCAGTGGGAGTCTGGAATCATCCCCATCTCCAGAATATCAGGGGAAATATCCTTTTAGGGGTGGAATGTGGCTCCATTAAAGCATCACCCTGGCAGCTGGTGCTGCTGGGTGAGGTTTGCAGTGGGAAGAGCCCACAGGATTTCTTCTCTCTGTGCTCAGCTTCCCAAAGCTCAGCCACAGAGATCAGCCAAAATCCACAGGCTGCTCCTGTTGGGCTGGAGCCACCAGAACTTTGGGAGCTGCTGCTTCCCCTGTGTGTAAAACAATTTTCCTTTTCCCAATTCCTGGCCTGGCTGTGAAGAAAATCACTTTTAAATCTCAAACCTGTCCTGAGTGTCTTCTCTAGCAGGGTGAATTGCACTGATTTAAGCAGTTCACAGTTCACCCCTCAATTTTTTATTGCTCTTTCTGGGGAAATGTAACTTCTCAAAGCTCAGCCTTGCTGGCAGTGTGTGATATCCCTTTATTTGCACAGTTTATCTCTTCCTACCCGTGGCTTTGGATAAATTGTTAATAACAAAGGCTCCTTATCACCAAACAAACGTTCTGAAGTGGCACCAGAGAAAAGCTGTCAGTCGGCTGGCAAGTGAAACTTTCAGATCAAATTCTCTATTAGAGAAGCTGAAAATAAGAGCCTTTTCTCTGGAACTGCGGGTGACTTCTGGAGTTATTCATGGCTTTGTAAGCACGAGATGATCCTCGGGTTTGTGTTTCTAAAGGCAGCCAGGGCTTCACCTGGCAGGCACGGATGAAATGCCAGCCTTGCAGCAGAGCCAGCTCTGCTTCAGGTGTTTCCTTTAACTCCTTTTTACTTTTGGGAGGCATAAAGGAGGGAAAGAATACATTTCTCACAGCCAGAAAACACACAATCCACCTTTGAATGGCTCCTCTGTTGTGCTTTTTTCCCTTTCTTGTGTCAACAAGGCCTTGTGTCAACAGCCAGCAAGCTTCTACTTGTCCTGAGTGTGTCCCTGGGGCTGTTGACAGGGAGGTGGGGACAGCATCTCAAACATATTTGAGTCTGGCACTGGGGGGGATTGCAAAACCACTGGAGAAGGAGCAGCAGGGAAAGAGGGAGAAGCTGCAGGGGATGGGAAGGTGCTGCTGATGTGATGGAAGCTGACACAACCTGGAGATTTTGCTGGAAATATCTTTGCCTCCTCTGCTGAGGAGGGATATTTTTTTTTTTTTTTTTTTTGGCCTGGATCAGGCACGATCCAAGGATAAGGGTGGGATTTAGGGTGGTTTTAGTGCTGACATTGCCACATGGCTGTGCCCAGCAGTGGGATGGGCACAACCACAGCCCTTGCACGGGGCAGTCCTGGGGAGGATCCACACCACAGGATATTGATAAGTGTGCAATCTGCCAATAACCTGTCAGAATTACACAGCTGGAGGTCAGAGAGACCCTGTCAGACCCTGACACTGGCCCTCCTTGCTTAGGCTGCTGCTGTGAGATGCGTTCTTGAGTGCTTGAAACCTTTATTTCTCATTTCATGGTGCCCTTTTACCCCCAGAGAGCATCTCCCTGGCTCTGCTAAGCTCAGGCCAACCTTGCCAAGTCATGGCGAGGATGTGGGCACCCCGTTTCCTCTAGGAGCCTCCAATTTCTTGCCTCAGCCTTATCTCCTGGCTTTTTCTTGTTGCTGAAAAGGGGTTCTGACATGTGGCTCGAGGTATGCCCACTGCTGAGGCAGCAGGCAGGAGCAGCTGGCACTGGGTGAGCTCTGGGGCAGAATTTCAGCCCTTCAGTGCCCCAAAATATCACTCAGGGGCTGAAGCAGCTGCCAGCACTGCTAAAATGACACTTGGTGGGGTGTCCCTGCACAGGGGTGATCACACCTTTAACTGCTGCAAAGTTACAGCTCTTTATAATTGATATAATGATATATATTTTTTGCTGTGACCTCATGAATTTATCACTTGGGCTAGTGCTGAGATTAATCAGAAGAGAAGAGGAGATATTATTTCAAGGTGCCAAAATATTTTTAAGCATGTTTTAAGAAAAAAACCCTTACATAAGGGAAAGGAGCTGGAAAGGTTTTCAGTTCAGGATGAGATGAGCAAACAGCTGGATAGAATTCATATTTCTCTTCACAGGTGTAGTTATTTTCTCTTTTTTGTGGAATTTAATATGAAGAGATGCTTCTTGCTTTCTTCCCAGTCTGGGTGCTCAGCTGAGAAGCTGAGTTTGCCTCACCAAGAGGAGGCAAGACAAAATGTTAGAAAGGTCTGGGTTTGGGCAAGAAGCAGGAAACCCTCAGGTATCACAATTTCCCTATTATCTACTCCTTTTAAAAAATAAATCATTTAGCTCCTATTCAGTTGATTATGCTGAAAATCTTTTATCAACAGTCCAAACCTGACCAAAAGCTGCCAAACAACAAATCTCTCACTGAGAATCTGCCTCCACTGGTGCTGAGCAGCAGCCAGAGAAGTTTGGCTCTGGATTTGACCTCTGAGGGGCCATGGGCTAAACCCTGGTGTGGCAAACACCACAAGAAATATTTTCCTTTCCTGCCAGAACCACTGGGAAATGTCACCAGGGCAGCCTGAGCTGCAGCAGAGGGTGAGGAGCTGCAGACCCAGC